CCTTTCTTTTCTTTTATTTCTTTCTCTCTTTCTCCCTTCCCTCTTTGCCTTTCCTTTTTCCTCCCTTCCTTCCTTCCTTCCTTCCTTCCTTCCTTCCTTCCTTCCTTCCTCCCTCCCTCCCTCCCTCCCTCCCTCCCTTCCTTTCTTCCCCCTTTTCTTTTCTTTTTTTTTTGAGACAGGGTGTTGTTCTATCACCCAGGCTGGAGTGCAGTGGCATGATCATGGTTCACTGCAGGTCAACTTTCCAGGCTCAAGCAATCCTCCCACCCTAGGCTCCTGAGTAACTGGGACTACAGCTGCATGCCACCATACCTGGCAAATATTTGGATTTTTTATAGAAACAGGGTTTTGCCATGTTACCTGAGCTGGAATCTTTACTGTTTCTATGGACTCCTAAGGATATATCCTCCACAACAACCTGGTGATTTCGTTTTTCTCCTGTGATTAGAGCCCCTGCTTCCTAAATTTCTTTCTTGTTTGCTTTTTCTTAATTTAGGTAGAGTACACTATCTTGTTGCTTCCTAAGAAGTTATGTGTGAAAGGTAAATTTTTGAGACTGACTGCATCTAAAAGTGCCTCATTTTTAATTGAGACTTGAGTTGGGTATAAAAATAAAGGTCGGAAATTATTTTCTTGTGGAAATAATACGAAGTGAGGTATGTTTTTCTCTGTTCAAACACATTGTTTTATTGTCTGCAAGCTTTCAATGTTACTCCTGAGAAGCCTGATGCCATTCTAATTCTTAAACTATAGTGTGTGAACTGCTTTTTCCTCTCTGGAAATGTGTAATGTTTTATTATTCATGAATGTGATAAAATTTCGGGACGTTGGCAGCTTTGTTGTCTTTTCATTTCATTGTGCTGCTGTGCACCTGAAGGGCTCTTTTTGTCGGAATTCTCATGTCCTTCACTTCAGGGAAAATTTCCTGCGTTATTTACATGGTAATTTCCTCCTGTCTGTTTTCTAGTCCCTTTTCTAAGAAGACTTCAAACAGTTTGGTTTTTTGTCTGATTCTACACTGACCCCTTCAGAAAAACTTAGTATCTTCAAATTCTAATTTCTGGAAAGGATGGACACAGCAAAGCTGACTTCATAGGGCTGCTCACACAAGTCAGTCAGCCACTGTCAGCCACACACTGGGCCCTAACTCAGGCCACAGGGATGCAGCTTTGCCCATCACTTACACAACCAACCAGAGAAAGGATTCTCACACTGCCTTATTTTTTCTTCTTTCTCTTCACTCTCCTTCCTCCTTCTCCCTCTCTTGTTCTCATTTGTCTTTCTCACTTCTCTCCCTTATGACTACTTGGCTGTTTTCCTTTTTCACTCTCTTTCCTTTTCCCCTAAACTTCACAATCTGTCTCCATCCTCAAAGCCAGGGACACAAACCCCTGAGCATTGTTCCTAAACATTGTACAGTGCAAATTCCACTGAAAAGGTAGATTTTATTTTTTTGACATAATATAATGCTGTATTCATTTTCTTGTGCTGCCATAACAAATAACTAAAAATCTAGTATTTTAAAACAACACAAAGTTATTGTCTTATGCTTCTGTAGGTCAGAAATTCAAATATGAATCTCACTGGACTAAAATTAAGATGTCAGTAGGAGGCCAGGTATGGTGGCTCACACTAGTAATCCCAGTTTGGGAGGGAGGCCGAAGTGGGAGGATCACTTGAGCCCAGGAATTTGAGACTAGCCTGCACAACATAGGGAAATCTCATCTATGCTAGAAAGAAATAAGAAAAATATGTCAGCAGGGCTGAGTTCCTTTCTGGGAGCTCTGGGGAGAATTTTCCACCTTCCAGAAGCCATCCACATTCCCTGGTTCCTGGCCTCTCCCTCCATCTTCAATGCCAGGAACAACAGGTCAAGTACTTCTTACAGTGCATCTCTGCAGAGGTAGATTTTTATATTGTCTTTGAGTTAGCTAAGTCATTAGAAATTAGTCTTTGTATGTTCCAAAGGCAAAAATCAAACAAATCAGCAAAAGATTTCTAGTTAATTGCAAAGTTTTATTAAGCACTTAGTATTTGCCATTCATTTTGCTGTGTTATCTGATCGAAGCCTTTTAACAAGTCTATGTAATAGATACTCTTATTAAGTACTGAGTTAGACATGATGAAATGTGGGGAAATTGACTTCTTTACTCATGGAGCCACAAGAGAGGCTCATTCACAAGTCTGTCTAGTTCTCAGGTCCATGCTGGTAACTAATCTGCTATGGTGCTTCCTGACAAACATTGTTTAAGGCATTAACATAACCTGCAAGGCAAGCTCAAATAATCCAAGTGCCCATACAATTTTAAAATTGCCTTCAAATTTTTCATGCCCTTTGCCTGTTTAGCAATACCTGCTCTTCTACCTCTTTGTCAATCTCTAGATTCAGAGATGGATGGGTTCTGTCAGCTCCTTTCCACATCCTGAGTTCTCCCATCCTCATGGGAAAAGGAAATATGGAAAAAGTAGAGTTTTCCAGATTTTTTCCAGTCTGACTTACTTCTTTTTGGATGGAAACATTTGGCAAAGTGATCTTTTTAAGGTTATTATAACAATTATATGCAGCAAACTTCTTAGGTTCATTTAGATAGAAGTGAATTTCATCAATTCAAGTTCCTGGTCTGCACTTCAGTTACTGTGACTGCTGTTTTGAGCTGTAAATCTAGTCTGACTAATGCAGGATAATGAGCAAAGTCTCTCTGCTCTCTCTTTACTATAACTCAGCTCTATATCATAGTACAAAATTTCGATTCTGACTTTAGATTTATATTGAGCAGCTTGTCAGAATTTCAGTTGGCATTGTGTATGAGGGTAGGAGGAGTTGCTACAATTTGGGTGTAACTGAGTTTTTTTCAAAAAATTTTTTCTTTCAAGTGACTTTAACCCCGATTGTTTTCCAATCTGAAAACAATAAACTTGGAAAATATATGGGTACATAATGGACTTTTAGAGCTATATTTTGGCAAGCACAATTTATAATCCACTATCTTTTTCTGTAAAGGCAATTTTTTTTTTTTTTTTTTTTTTTTTTTTTTTTTTTTTTTTGTGACAGAGTCTGGCTCTGTCCTAGAATGCAGTGGCATGATCTCGGCTCACTGCAACCTCCACCTCCTGGTTCAAGTGATTCTGCTGCCTCAGCCTCCTGAGTAGCTGGGATTACAGGTGCCGCCACTATGCCCAGCTAATTTTTGTATTTTTTAGTAGAGACGGTGTTTCGCTATGTTGGCCAGGCTGGTCTCAAACTCCTGACCTCAGGTGATCTGCCCTCCTTGGCCTACCAAAGTTCTGGGATTATAGGCATGAGCCACCTCACCCGGCCTGTAAAGACAATTTTCAAAAAGCTATTTCTGTCACTTTTTAAGCTGATATCTTCTTCTGTGACTGCCACATCAACTTTATGCCTTATTTTCAACATCTTTAGGGTATTTTCAAAAAATTATTGCTTTGAAGTCTAATGAGGCCAGGCCCAGTGGCTCACACGTGTAATACTTTGGAGGCACTTTGGGAGGCCAAGGCAGCTGGATCACCTGAGGTCAGGAGTTCAAGACCAGCCTGGCTAATATGGCAAAAACCCTGTGTCTACTAAAAAATACAATAATTAGCCAGCTGTGGTGGTGGACACCTGTAGTCCCAGCTACTCAAGAGGCTGAGGCAGGAGAATCACTTGAACCCAGGAAGCAGCAGTTGCAGTAAGCCGATATCGCACCACTGCACTCTAGCTTCAGTGACAAAGTGAGACTCTGTCTCAATCAATCAATCAATCAATATAAAGTCAAATGAACCATATAACAGATACTCTAAAACATGTTCTACCCTTCAAAGCTAGTTAAGTCTAGTACCTGTTTCATAATAAGCAATGATCCCAGTGAATGTTCTACTGTAATATCCATGGAGAGAAATAGTTCTTCCTATTCATGTGGCTCCCAGGGTTCTTCTGAATTGGTTCAGAATCCAGGACAAATGGTAGCTTGTTACTTTTAGCAGTAACCACCAGGTGACCCTGTATGGTGGGTGTGGGCAGAAAGGCAAGGTCAGCAAGGTCCCTGAGTATATTGAGTTAAATAGTGCCCTCCCCTCCTCACTCAACTCATGTCCACCTGGAACCTCAGATTGCTACCTTATTTGAAAATAGGGTCTTTGTAGATATAATTAGTTAGGTTAGGATGAGGGCATACTGGATTAGGGTGGACCCTAAACCCAATGACCGGTGTTCTTATAAGAAGAAAGATGGAGACACACAGATACAGGGAAGATGGCCACGTGACAGTAGAGGCCGGGACTGGAGTGATGCAGCCACAATGCCAGGAGCCACGAGGATCTAGGCAGAGGCAAGGAAGGACTCTTCTCCTTCCTTCAGGGTGAGCATGGCCCTGACAACACCATGAGTTTCAACTCCTTGTCTCTCAAACTTTGAGAGAATAATATTTGTATTGTTTTAAGCTGCAAAGTTTGGGGTAACTTGTTTCAGCAGCCCTAGGAAATGAGTGAACTGAGGAATTTGTCACTAAAGGGGGGCAGGCACAGTCAAGATTGTCCTCTTACTCTGGACTCCTGGGCAAAGGACTCTCAGCAGCTACGCTGTGGAGAGCGGGCAAGAAGAATGTCCAGGGGGCCAGAGCACAGTGACCGGAGATGGGAGTATCTCATTTCAAGCAAAGTGCAGCTGCTGAGATGTGAGGAAAGACCAAATCTGATGTGATCCTGGGAACACAGAGTTAGAGCTACAAATTAAATAGGCTCCAGGAGTAAACTGGGAGGGAAGAGCCTCCGTAACGTGGTGATATTCTCATTATACCTCTAAAATTAGGGCCACTGAGCGCAGCCTGAAAATTCTGCAAATAGTTGAACCACAGTAAATGGAAAGCTTTTCATTATAAATTATGTGAAAGTGTTCCTTGGGGAAATCCAAGCTCAGTACATGAGCCAGGGCTCCACTCTAGCTGTATTTGGTCATGTATGCTTATATAATAATGAAATTGATACACTCTTTCCCTATTTGCTGGTCAGAGCCAAATTATTTTTTAATGGTCATGCTTAATATTTATTTACAAGCAGTCGTCCAGAAGGCACTGAGGAGCTGACCTTGGTGCGGAGCTCTACTCCCACCATGGCCGCATGACTCTGGTTACTAGGGCTGCTTTGAGCTCGTTTTCTAAAGGGTGTTAGTGCTGGCCAGTGAGAAATTAAAAATGGTTACTCTTATAGACAACTTGGATTGATTCAAGACCTAGTTAGCAAAGATGCTCTACATTAGGACAGAAAAGGTAACTGGAAACTTTTCTCTAGTTCTGCAAAACTTTTTCCAAACATTATCCCTTCACATAAACTCTTCTAGACCCTCAAGGCTTTTAGAAAGTAATGATTTTCTCATCTGGATTCAAACCAAGACCTAAAGCCTCGAGTGCCTGCCAGGCCCAACCACATAGTGCTGCCCAGCGTCAAACCTGCAAGAGTCTTCTCCCTTCCCTCTCTTAAAACCAGTGACGCTGACCCAAAACCTTATTTCTGAATTTTTTATGTTTCATTTTTCCCAGAGGAGTACATTACGTTCTGATTCTATATTAATTGAATCACAAAAGAAACCATTGAGGGCATTTGATTTGCTAAACTGTTGAGATGAATGGTTAATTGTCTGGAATTCAGCTTCCTGGAAAGGCAGATGGAGGAATAGGAAGGCCAAAAATTAAAATTAAAATTAAAATTAAAAACTAAAGGAAAGAGGGAAGAGAAGAGAAGGAAACAAAAGGAGAAAAAACTATAAAATAGAAAATGGCGAATGTGGAAAGAATCTTTTGGGTTGTATATTTGTCTGCTAGGGCCACCACAACAAAATACCACAGAGCAGGTGGCTTAAACAACACCAATTTGTTTTTTTCACTGTTCTGGAGACTGGACATCCAAGATCAAGGTACAGGTAAGACTGGTTTCTGAGGTCTCTCTCCTCGGCTTACAGATGTCCTCCATCTTACTGTGTTTTCAAATGACCTTTTCTCTGTACGTGTACTTCCCTGGTGCCTCTTTCTCTTCTTATAAAGATGCCAGTCATATTGGACCCCCGTAAAGAGTACCGGGAACAGGAGCAAACGACCTGATGTGAGAGTTCAGCACTTGGTTCCAGCCTTGATTTTCCCTCCCTTGGCCAGCCAATTCCCAACACCTAATGCAATATGACTCATTCCAACTGAATGACTTCTTCAGGACCCTTTCCCCAAATACAGTAACATTTGGTACTTGGGGTTAGGACTTCAACATATGAATTTGAGGAACACAATTCAGTCACTAATAGGTTGTTTGGTGACCACAGCTATGCCTTCCCTGGTTTAAACTCTTTATCTTATTTCTTCTTGCTTACTGTGGACTGAAACCCTGTAAAAAATGACTTCTCAGAGCTTAGGCTAGGCCCTGCAATTAGTTCATCCTTTTACTTAGGAGAAGTTATGTCCAGATAATAGCAAATTAATGTGTCAAATGCACATATTATGTGCCATTCACTATCTTCACAACTACACCCAATTTTTATCTTTGAGAAAAATAAGGTTTAGAGAGATTAAGAAACTTGTTTAACACCCTGAAGCTAATAGATTCAGCACTCAAACCTAGATCTGCAACTCAAAACTCCAGCCTTTAAGCACCGAGCCACAATGCCATGCCTAGAATTGAGGAGAATGATCAGAATGTTCTCTCTTGGCATAATTTAACAGCAGCAAGCGGGTTTTAGACCCTGGATAGTGTGGTTAGGTGGTCTGCTTGAAGAAGCAACCATATTTTGTCTTTTCAAATTTCCTTAGATGTGGAAAAATTTCCACTCCCACTCCCTAAGCGAGAAAGGACAGAAGGAACACCCTTGCTTCTCTCTACTCCACCCAATTATGATTCCAGGAAACAGGAGCAAAGGACCTCATGTGAGAGCTCAGCACACTTGGCTTCAGCCTTGATTTCTCCCTTGGCCAACCAATCCCCCACATGCTCATCTTCTCACCGGTGTGGTAAACCTTCCAGAGCACTCTCCCTGGAGAGGGAGAAGCCCCACAGGGGTCCTGCTGAGCCAGAAACCACAAGGGCAAGGATTTCCAATTCCCCACGAACTATCGCAAGCAAATTGGTCACACATCAAAAGTCACATTTGCCAGTCAGTCATTTTTATCAGTAAGAAAACAAGTGCTTTGATCTGCATCTTTCTGTCTTATTTCTCAACTGAGTTCAAATTCAGAGGGATGTAGGGGTTTTTTAATTGGCCTCTCGTATACTCAAAAAGAATGAGAATGAATTTTGGAAGCATACAGATCTAGATTTGAATCCTAGTTCTTTACTTACTAGCTATATGACTTTGGTTCAGTTACTCAAATTCTCTGAGCTTCAATTCCCTCATCTTCAAAGTGATAGTCATAGTACCCACTTCACAAGGCTGTTTGAACAGTTAAATGAGGTAAAGTATATAAATCTCTGCACCCAATAAGTATTTAACAATTGTTAGTTTCTTTCCTTCTTTTCTCTTCCTCTTAGTCACAATCCAACTTTCATGAGCTATTTTTATAAAAGAAATATCTTTCCTAGTCTGTAATCCTTTATTACAAATATTTAACTTGATTTTTATGATATCTCATAGGTGCTGGCAACAAAACTACACTTGTATAATTAAGTCTCACTGAGTTGCTATCTTCTGTAGATTGGGTCTTTATAGCTTAAATCCTTCCTATTGGAAGCAATACATCTGATGTAATTATTTCAACAGCATGCAAACTTTTTAATTGTATGATTTGGTTGTAGTAATTAGCCCCTTTCAAGGAACTTCAAAATAAAAATTTGAATATGTAAACAATGTTAGACATTTTAGAATCTGCAGTTATTATTTTGGCTTCAATTCAGTGTACAATACTATTTAGAGAAGGTGAGAAAGGGATAAATGTTTTTAGATTTGAAGCGACTCAATCTTTCAAATTTCATTATTCTATCCTTTTACATTTGTTCTGATGAGAGAACTAAAATCTCAGCCTTCAGAGGCCACACAATGTTGCTTGCCCAATTGGTCCATGATTAAATGTGTTCTCATGTAGAAGGAGAGCAGAAACAAACAAACAAACAGCTGACAGATGACAGCTGAACATTTCTCACTGATGTGCAGCATGACTCTTCATTTGGAAGTGAAAATGACAAACAGGTGTGTGACATTGGCATCAATAAGTAGTCAATCCCCATGAACAGATCATGGCAGCTCTGCCTTTAGGCTCTGGGCTTAAGCAATTTTCTGGTTCAAGACAGAAGATGTGCTTTAACAGCGCCCTTTGAACACAGGGTTTACAAAGGATCTATCTCAGGATGTAACAAGCTGTCATGGAGGCAAAGACTAAGACTAAGTTAGACAGATCCATGGAGATTTTGGTTTAATTCCTGGCTCAAAGCTTGAGCTCAGCAACGCTAATGATGACAGGGGACAGTGGCAGTCCTAGGTGATGCATAGCATCACCCAGGGCGTTTTGCTCCCTTCTCTTGGGTATAGTCGTTGGTGATATTACCCTCTCCAACATAGACTTGCTCAGTGTTGATCTCTGCCTTTCCTTCACCTTTAGATTTCTTACTTCATTGACCCCAGATCAAAGAAAAGAGAAATGAGAAATAACAGGGAATAACTCTAGGTGTTTCCTTGAATTCTTGGGGATTGTGTGACCTGAACCAATGAGGAAGAAGGGTCTGCTAGTGGGGAGGGGGGCACACCAGTTGGTTTCTTCTGTGCCTTCAGCCCATCCTCAACCACCCCCTCAGAAGTCCCTCTTTGTTTCCAAAATTCAACACAATTTTTTAGGAAGGGTCACAAAAGTGTGGCCCTTCCCCCTCTCCTGTTGGCTTAGAAGTCAGAAAAGGTAAAATAGAACAGAAACAGGGAGTGGGTGTGAAGTCCCAAATTCTACCCCACTGTAGTCATACTCTTAGTTTTAAAGGATGCTGACTTAATATGCTCCCAACTTCCTTGTATTGACATAAGGAGTTCTAACTGCCATAACTTTGGACCACCACCAGGATTGGGGATTTGAAACAAAGTAAAGATGCCATTTCTGATTTTTTAGAGAGCAACCAGCTGTGGATATCTTCAGTATTTAGTTTTTTAAGTGTGATTGAACTTACTCCATTGTAAAGAAACTTCATCAATTTTTCCATGGTAACTGGTGGAAAATCATATGAGATTATATGATAGTTATGCACCATCTATTTAGTGACTCCCTTTGACATTACTAATCGAACCAACTTGTTGGAGCAGTAAAATGCTATTGAATGTTGCTTGCCTGGAACATGGCTTAGGTTGCCAGCATTAGACAGAAAGACCTGTAAGATATAAGTAGGTGTGAGATTGTTGAGGTCATACTTATTTTAGAATTCAGTTTATTCGAGATTTCAATAGTACAAAAACAATAGTATATCCAATATTTCAATTGTATAACAGAATACATATGCCCTGTGACAGGGCATGTCACTGTGACAAAAGTTAGTACACCATAGCAGCAACTTTGACATTTGCGTTTTTTAGGTTTAACAAGAAAAGGACTTGACCTCTATGACTCTGTGGTGCGGATGAAGGAGAAAAGCGCCAATTGAGGAAGCCCCTGCTGATGTTTCCCTGATCATGGAGAGACTGTTTTTCCTGGGAAAGGATGTCATGGTTAGCCTCATGTTAGGGAAAAAATTAGAATCTGTGGCAAATTTAATAATGATTTGTCCTTACATCATATTTCATTCAAAAGCCAAGGCAATTGATGAAACACAATCAGATCATAACACCCTGGTCTTTTGCTAACATTCCCACAAGTCCCACTGGAATAGTGGAAACAACTAGAATTTAATGATCACCCCCACCTTTTCCACTAATCATTGACACTTGTGATTATGATATTATTTGGTTGTTTACTTTGCCTTTCCCATTACCCACAAAAAGGTAGCTCTTCACTAAGAAACCTGTGTTAGGTGCTGAGAGGCTTACTGGAGGTAGATTTAAATATTATGGGATAAAGTGAATTGTTGCACAATACTGTGTCCTAGAAATTCAAACATTCAAAGTCTTGCATAGTTATCAGGTATTATAAAAATTCTCCTGGTTTGCTTTGTAAAAGTAACCAGAGTCTTCCCCAGGAACTGACGACTGTATGGTTGTTGGACAGTCTAAAATGTCATTAACTTGGGATACTCCTGGGTGTTTCCTTTCAGAAATATTATCCGACCCTACCCATACACTTCCTGCCCTAGTCCCTGTTGGGACACTGACTATGCAACATCTCACAAAGGTAGGAACGCTATTAGAACATCACTGGCGTTTTGGTTTACAGGACTCTATTCTCCTTCCCTCAAAACTTTCACAGAGGCAACTTCCTTCCTGAGCTAACCTATTGTGTTGTTTGTTGTATCTCGTCTTTGTTCTTGTGCCTCATTACTCACTATCAGAGCTCAATGATGAAATGATAAAATCTTGAGTCATTTTAGTTATAGGGCAGACTACCAGCTATAAAAGTACTGACGCATGTGTCTTAAAGAAACTGAAACAGGCTTATTGCTTTTTTTTTTCTGTTTCCCTCTGTAAAATGTCTTAGTTTAGCATACGTGAAACACAGCCCAGCATTTCTCAAACATTAGCATAGTGCATGCATCAAAATCACCTGGAGAACTGATTCAAACACATACTTCAGGCTCCAGCCACAGAGTTTATGACTCATTAGGTCTGGGCTGGGACACACGGATTTGCATTCCTAAATTTCCAGGTAAAGCTGATGCTTCTGGTCCGGGGACCTCACCTTGGGAGTCCCAGTTGGTCACCTTATGTGAGACCAAAACTATTTCTAGTTTAAGTAGAAATCTTGTAGTTCTTAATATTTCTGAAAAACACTTTTAAGAATGCTATTACTTTATATTTAGATGATCAAAGGGACTTTAAACCAACTAGGTTTAAGATCCCCCATCTATCTAGTTTCTATATTTCTAAGAATATGAATGGTCTCATGGTATGCCGTAATGACAGTAATGAGCATTAACTGAGGCTTTAAGGCTCTGTATGACACTGTGCTAGCACTTTGCATATATCATGTGTAATTCCTACAACAGTATAGCTTCTTAGAAATTAGAGTTAATATCAGTGGGAAAACTAAGCTCACAGAGGTTACAGGTGACATAGTGGTTACTCTGCAGCTGGGATTTGAGTCCACACATCTCTCTGCTCCAAAACTTACATTATTTCTTAATGAACTGAGTGGGTATTTGTTATTCCTAGAGTTTGATAGTTGCCGTCACTTAACATGTATGGATATTCAAGACCAATTTTATGGAGGCTGATTATTTGTTAAATAATTTATTAAAGTGCACTAACTCTGACATTATAGTATATGCAGCTGTGTATACACAGGTATCTGCTGCAAGTACAGAAGGTCTCCAGAGAGGCTTTCCTTAATTAAGAGAAACTGGATGAAGCAGGGACACAGCTGATTATACTTTTTAAAATACAAAAAAATCAAAGAGCGATTTCATTTTCATATTAAATTTTTCACATATATAAGGTACAATGCAATATGGAATAAAATTTGAAGAAATGTGCCTAACTAGAATGTGATCATTCACATTTCAACCATTACCGCAAGAAGACCAAGCCTGCTTTCTTTTCCCCTCCTTGAGCACCTTGAGTTATCCCCTTGCTTTTTGATTGCAGACAAGTTCCAGATCTTCATCTGGTTTATGGCACCTCCAGGAGCCCAGCACAAAATCCCCTCCCCTGCTTCCTCTCCCATCTCTCTTTCCAGAGGCTCTTGAAGGTTTCATTTTGTTGCCTGATCAGTCTCAGGTAGTCCCTATCACTGACTCAAGTTTTCTATCATTTCATCACTGAGCACTGACGGTGAGTAATGAGGCACAAGAACTACAACCAACACAACAGTTCAGCTCAGGAAGGAAGTTGCATCTTGTCAAGTTTTGAGGGAAAGAGAACAGAGTCTTGTAAAGCAAAATGCCAGGGATGGTCTAACTAGTGTTCCTACCTTTTTGAGGTGTCACACAGTCAGTATACCCAACAGCTCATCCTTTTCTGAAGGATAGCTGTTTATCCATCTCCTGGGAAGCTTCAAACTATTTGTTTTTTCCTATTGTGCAATCTGTCCTTTTCAAGGCCAGGCATAAAGGGAGAAGAATGAGATCTGGTCATTAATATGTCTTTCCTCCTGGCTTCTCACCGTTGATCATTTCCTTCCAGTCAGGAAAGTTACCTTTCCAGCTCACTGAACACATTCAATGGATTCCCCCTTCCTCCTTGAACAACGATTACAGCAAGCATAGAACCAGTTCTTCGATTCATGCCAATTTTGTGACTCAAAAAGGGCACTCTTCTTATTTTTGTGCCTTTGAAAATACTTGGGTCTGTCGGAAATGTCTGGGAAGACTTGCTTTCATCATTTTCTTGCACAGGCTATTCTCAGTGCCTGGCATCCTCTCACATTTAGGTTACCATTAGGGTCCATGCACGGTCTGTAAAAACACTTCATAGCTGCCTTTTCTCTTTCCTGATTTCCATTAAGCAGAATTACTTAAATTGTTTACTTTTGTTTCTAACCATAAGAAAATATAGTTACAAAGGCAAAAGTACTCATGATTCTTGGCTGTGCTTGCCCCTCCAGTCAGTGGCAGAGAACGTTTATATTCCCCCAGCTCCCACTTGGGCTCTCACCTGAGGTAAGCAAACATACTTGCTCATGATAGAAAATCCAAAAAAGGGACAAAAAATCATTCCTGACCCAGGAGCAGTCACTGGGTGATAACTCACATCACCCCTCCAGCCTGTGGCCTGCTGGGCTCTGAGCCTGAATCTTCACCACTTTGCATCTTGGCTCTCAACACAGTGTGTGTCTCAGGGCCTGGCCTGGTCAATCTTTGCCCATAGTTCAAGATTTAAACTGGTTACCACGTAAACTTCTTTTTACCCCAAATGTTGCATAAGACAAAGATAAAACTATGTGCTTGATCATAACCTGCCACCCACAAGTGAGGTTCATGTCAGTGAAACTTTTGAAGAATGAGAAAGTGGCAGGGTAGGGCAGTGGGTAGCAGGTAAGGCAGTAGCACCAATGACTTCCGTAAACAAATATCAAATTCCATCCTTCCAGCCTTGGCAAATAGCAACCTCATTCTTTTTTTTCTTAGGTAAACATTTAAAAGTCAAATATCTGGAGCCACACACTGGATAAAGGGACATTTGTTTTATTTTTCTTTTTAAAAATTATCAAATAAAAAAATTATTAACAGAAAAGAGATTGAACATAAATGCCCAATATCATAAAAAAGATTTGTGCTTAATACACCTCTCAAATAAAGTGTCCTAACAACATTTAGCATTTAAAATTAAGATATTTGCAGAAAGTGTAAGAAACTAACAAACAGGTTTTTGTTGTTGTTGTTGTTCCTCTAATGCAAAATCCCTTTTGCCGTTTGCTCATAAGATCAAATTGCCCCTTTTTGGCACAGATGGGATGATATTTTAAACTGAGCTAAATCAAATAAAAGATGCTGGTTGTTGCTTCCTCTTTAGGGCGTAGACCAGCCAAGGTCCTGTGAGGCCTTGGGTCTTCCCAGGGTTGTTTTCTGAGCAGGGAGCAGGCACTATGAAGGGACATAGTGTTACTTTGACATCTTTGCTTCAGAGCTTCAAGAGCACAGCTTTCATTTGAGTTTCTGGTTGGCAAGTTCCTAGAAATATGGTCTTTTAGCCAATATAGCCCACCTTAATATTGTCCCAAAGGATTCTAAGGTAGATGCTAGCCAATCAGGTTTGTAACAAGTACAAGTTTTCCGCAACCCTTCTTCTTGAATCATAGCCCTTTCTGGAAAGCAAGCAGTTACTACTGAGAAATTATTTGTTTCAAACCCATGAGCAGAATTGAGAAACAGCATTTTGAGTAGGATGCTAGCTTTGTGATATTTGTTCAATCATTAACATATTACATTTTCTGGGTTGAATAGTTGAAGGTTACCTACAAAGACAGGGAAAAGGATTTTGAACCACAAACACAGATTAGAGAATTTGACCAATTGATTGTTTAATTTTTCAAATGACATTCAGAAAGTTTAGGATTATTAAATCTGGCCTGAGCTAAAGTTTGTCTTTCAGTATCTGGGAGGAAACGTTTTGCTAAGCAAATTAAGAGTATAATAAAATTATATAGTATATTTTAACCTACTAAAAAGAATAAGGTATACATATTCTCTTTTTATGTTTTATTTCTATAGATCATTGCTTTGTTTTATGTTGAAGACAATTTTATTTCACATAGTGATTCATGTAACTTTTTTACATGATAGCAAGAGAATGAATATGTTTAGAAAGATTCACAGAGTGGCAGAAGTTTTTCTTTCAACATCTCACTTCTCAATCTAGCTCTGTATTTTAAAATTAATTTTTGTTATATTCAGTCAGGGTTTATATAATTATACTATGATTGTAGGTAATTTGATGAAAAATTGCATTAAATCCAATAGGACTAGGAATGACTACATTACAGCATATTATGTCTTTGAATCAGCAGTGCTACATCAAACTACCCTTTCTCTACATTAATTACTGTCCTCTTTTCACAGTCCAGCTGAAATAATTTCCTTTTTGGGAAGCCAAAAGGCAAAGCAGAATTGTTTTTCAGTTTAAGCAGCAGGATATTTCATATTCAAGGTGTAAGCTGTGAGTCAAGAGCCAGGTGAGATGGGCCAGGAACGTGGCAGCAGGTAAGAGCCAAGCAGCCCAACAACCAGACAGCAAGAACCCACTGTGTCTAGAAGAGGTAACCCCAGCTGGTCTCCACTACTGAGACAAGGGTAAGGTTTTTCTTGCATCTGACTCAGCCAAGAAGACCCAAGGAACAAATATTGGTGAAGCACAGGATAATCATATTATTTATTGTTCAAACTGGCACACTTTTGATTCTGAAAGAAGATGCTGTTAGTATTGATGCTAAGAAAAAAGGTGGACATCAAGCCTACTCCAGGCAACATAGGACTTCCAGTCACCCAGGTAGGATCCAGACAGAGCTGTACAGTTTTCACATCAGAAAAATTTCAAGCAGAGAAAATCATTTACCAGCATTTTCATTTACAGGTCAGGTAGTTAAGGTATGGGCTGTGAAGGGGACTTTCTCAAAAGGCTGATAGCAAGCTACTGGCAGAGTTAGGACTTGAACTAAAATTTTCTGCTCCCAGCTCAGTGTTTTTCTATTGTACCACACATTTGCATAGTGTTTTATTCTTTTCAAAGCATGATCATAACCTCATGCAGCCCAAGTTTCCGTAGGACACAGCTTTCAGGAATATAAACTAAGGTCACAACAATAACAAACAGTATTTTCCTGGTTCCTTCTCTACTTGTGATTTCAGAAATTCCAGTTTTACTTTAAATTACCATTAAACAATTCCTGGCAGTCTCCTGGGGTCAGCCCCTGTTTGTTCATGAATAAAATCCTCCTTCCACTATGTGGAATTCATCCTTCCCCTTCACACCCTCACTCTAGGGCAGCATAAACACCATGTGCTGGTCTGGAGTCAGACTGGGCTCTAGTCCCTTGCCAGTATTATGACCTTGAACTCAACAGTTAACCTTTCTAGGCCTAACATTCTTCTAGGCCTATATATCTGTAAAATGGGCCCTTTATAGCATTAGTTTATTGACCTGTAACTGTTAAATGAAATAACATACAGTTGATTCTCATTGTTTGTGGCAGTTATATTCGATAAAGTCACTCCAAATGCTGAATTAGTAAATACTCAACCAACGCTCTTCACGGAATTACAGGGTTAGGTTCTTGTGAGTTTCGGGTCACAAAACTTTTGTCAGCCAATCAATACATTCCCTTATTTTATGTGCCTTTCTTTTTAAAGACATTTTATTCAATGTATTTGACTGATTCATTAGCATTAAATTCCCAGCCAACAGCACTAAAACTCATGCCTGGTGGAGATTTGTCTAACCATGTATTCTCTGTAGGGCAGACCACAACCTCCTTGCACATAGAAACACCAACAGCACTTCGGCACTAGCTTGGAGGCTACTTGAAACAGTGAAATATCTACAAAGATGCAAAAAAAATGTGGCACTGAATAGACCACCACAAGGACCCCAGGTTATGGTATAAGAGCTGAAACTAAAAGGAAAGCATCATGAGGAAGGTGCATGTTCACTGGGGGACTTAAATTATCCTCTGCTCTGTGCTCATCCATGAATGACCATGAAAGCACTGTGAGTATTGATTTTGGGGTCACAAATAAATTTTAGCAAGTAGATGAATGCAGAATGTGAATAGTAAAGTGCAACTGTATATAAAGAGCTTAGCACAGTTCATGTCAAGAAACTCCCTAATCGATGCTCACTGTTGCTGTTCTTGCGTGGTTATTGTTAGTTAAGAAAAGCCCCCTGCCAAGTCCTAAAACACAGGAAAGTCACCTCTCACCAAAGGAGATATTGTATTCTCCAGGACAAATAGTAGGCGGGTCTAGCTCATTGGTGAAGCCTTGCATCCCACCTAAGAAAAGGGTTATAAATTCTTCCTAAGAGGCTCCACATTTCACCAGGTAATGGGCTCCTAGTGGGCCCATTCCAGGTTCTCTGGAGTTAAACACTACTGAAGGCTTAGGCGAACATCATGTGGGTCTGAATTAAACATCCCTTTCCCCTCCTGGGCCCCAGCTCTCTGCATCTCACCCTCACCAGGTGTTTATTTTACATATGCAAGTGCATGCCACAACAGAATGAATTAATGACCCATCATCAAACAAATTCCACACACACAGTTGAACACTTCCCAGTGTCTCATACAAAAGGTGCATTCAGATTTTTATTTCCTTCTTTTTAGTTTTTGTTTCTCGAGTTTCTCCTTCCGCTCTCTCTGTGCCCTTGCATGTTCTCTCCTATTCTTGGAGCATGTTCTTGAAGTGGATTTATTCCTCCTTTGACTGCCCTCAAGGTTTTCTCTTTCCCTTTCCCCGCTGAGGCCTTGATTTCTGGCTTATTCACTGTCTCAAGTTCCAATTTCTCCCTCCTCCAGCAGATCCCCTTTCTACAGATCTTTCTATAATTGCGCTTGTTGTTTTCCTCTGGCTGTCTTAACTTCCAAGAATGGCCTCCTCCTTTGCTTGCCCTTTCCTCCCTTGTGGCCATCTGATGGGGCTGTTTTCTCTGGGGCAGGCCCAGACTGTCGCCTTTCCTCAGCAGGGAGGTGTCTTCTCCCTGCTGTTTTCTTCCTGTACTTTTTGTTGAGCCCTAGTTGCTTTCTCAGTTTCCCGCTTCCTCTTCCTCTCTTATCTTCATCTAAATCCATCACCCTTGACTAATGTGATTTATAGCTTTTGATTTTGCAAAAATTGGACTGTCTTAAAATAGGTTGTACTTGAACACTCTGTGTACCTCCTTTACAGAACAGCACGTTATTACATGAATCTGGATACACTGCAGGTCACATACTGACCTCTAAATTGCAACTCCTCACAGGCCAGCCTGTTGTGATTGTCTACCAGCGATGTGCCTTCTGTCTTCCAATACCAGCCTCAGAAAGACCTGATACTACAGTTTTAAATATTATGCCCAAACATTAATTTGCTCTGTGATTTAAACACTATGATCTTTGCTGCTTTCACTTCTTCTACCCTGCTCCACTTACCCACCCCTCTCCCCAGTTTCTCTCTTGCAACTGCTCTCCTTAGCATTGCCAATCACTTCCTAAAACATCCATCCAATGACCTTGCCTCGATGTCATTCTCCTTTCCTCCTCAGCAGCATTCAACACCGTTCATTCTTTCTTCAACAAATAGTCATTGAGTATTTCTCTGTATCGAGCACTGTTCTAGGCACTTAGGATAGGTTAATAAAACAAAGATCCCTGCCTTTGTGAAGGTTATAGCTTATTGGCGTACAGAGGCAGACACTATACAACATACATAATATATTATGTAAATTATTAGTAGTGGTTATGAATTAACTACATAGACAAATTAGTAAGTAAATGATCTAGTTAACACTTAATAAACAGAAACTAGAGAATAAAGGAAAAATAGAACAGGGTAGGGAGTCACAGAGGTGCAGGTACGAGGAGGTCTTGGTGTTGCAAGGGCGGTTGTGTACATTTCACTGAGAAGGTGACAGAGGCTTGCAAGAGGAGTCAGAGAGGGAGCCATGTGGACCTCTGACAGAGGGTGCTCCAGGTAGAAGCTATAGCCAGTGCTAAGACCCTTACTTAGGACATGTCTGTGTGTTCAGGGAGCAGCAGGGAGGCCAGGGCACTAGAGAGGAAAAAGTTGAGGGGAAGCTCATAGGAAGGAGTCAGAAAGCTACAGAATCCAGGCCACTGAAGGCCTTGTAGGCCACTGTTGATCACACTCTCACTTGGCCTCCGTACACATAATCTGTGCTGGTTCTCTCCTTATTTCCTCATTTTCATTTCCAGGGACTCCTGTCCTTGGCCGATCCCCACACAGTTGGGTTTTCCAGGTGTCTTTTTAGCATCCTTCTCTGCTCCCTCACCATCTCTAACTTTTTGATCACATCTACTTCCTTGGGTTCTACTACGACTAATTCCCAGAACTTTTTCCAAGTCACACCTGCCTCCATGGTACTGTTTCTAAATCAGTGTCTCTCTAACATCTCACACTCAGCATGTGGCATCAGTTTTCTCTCAAGCCAGTTATTCCTGGATCCTTTCTATTTCCATTAATGGCAACTCTATTTCCTTGGCCACTTGGGTTTTGAATCTTGTAGGTGCTGTTTTCCTCCTTATCTAATCAGTGTTTAAGGGCTCTTAAATCTATCTCCAAAATTGGAAACTTCACATGGGGATCATGTATCCAATAGCATTAACTAGAGTTCACCACGTCACTTTTAGAACTTTACGATATTGTCATATTTGCTTACCTGATTTCTGTATTACCAATAATATTTCCATAATGAGTCTAACAAATCAGAAACTAACTTTGCTTTAGGCTAGAATGATTCAAAAGTTTATAATAAAGGGCAATTCTAAGGTAGACAATTCTTGTCTACCTTGTCAACTAGACAAAATAGCTATAGTTTTGTAAAAACAGAGAGAAAAATAGGACCTGGGTTGCAGGATTTTCTTCTGGAGCCTGAAATTTCAGATGCTGCCTTTTGCTGGGCCTTCCCTGGCCCTTGTTCATCATTTGAGTTGCCTCGCTGCAGCTCCTGCCTGGCACTTCAATTCAGCAGTTTATCCAAGATCCATTCAGGAAGGAATTTGAGGAACGAGCAAAATCCCTGGAAGTAATTTATTGAAAGTAACCCATATACTCTCCAACCTGATGAAAGATTTCGTGGCTTACAAGTCCAAGTAACTCACAACTAGCTTCCACTGCCAAAGTCCAGTTTTCAGTAGGAAGGCCATCCTTCACCCTATTCCTCGTTGTGCCACAGGGGTACTTTATTTACTTTTTCTCCAAACATTGTTATTTTCTGTGGCACTTCTTTTGCAATAACAAGATGCCACGTTAATCCCTTTCCCTGCATATCTCTCCCATTCTCTCCCTCCCTTGCCTCTGTCTCTCTCCTGAGAAGCCACTTATGGCCTACATTTAGACAAAACAAGAAAGACACAGTTAGATGCAGCTGCTCCCTCTTGACAAGTGTTATCTCTCCCTCTTAGGGGCACTGCCCTTCCTGAAGCACATAAATTCTCCTTTCCTGTTTGCGTAACTGTTCACTCTTCTTCCTTTGGGAAGAGGTAGGCAGGCTCCAAGGAGGGGCTGTGCTCACTGCATGTGGCACGAGCCCTGTGTTCTGTTGGCCAAGATTCAAAACCAGCACTGGAACAAGACAGTGTCAGCCACGGGGTCCCTGTGCAGGGTCCCTGTCCATCCTAACAAATGGACGACTCATTTCCAGAGACTGGCCACTCAGCAGCCACGCCCAAGGCGCTCCAACAATGTCCTAACATCAGGGCTAAGGTGTTGGCAGGTTTGATGGTTCTGAGGCACTCCTCGAGAGAGGAAAAGGGTAGGGGATAGAGGAGAGAAGAAAGGAGGGCTTGGAAAGATAGATATGGCCAGAGGGGATTTACTCTTCCCAAGGAGTTCTCAGCCACCACACAGCTTCTGGGCCTTACAAAGGCTTTTCTCAGCTCACCAGCCTGTCTGACCACAACCTAACAGTGAGATCCAGAACAGATATATCCTTAAAGCACTTAGGCTTACTGTAAAAGGCCGGCAGAAATGTGGGAAGAGTCCAGTTTTTTTGGGCTAGGGTCTATGGGCTGCAATTTCCTCACACTTGATCTTAGCCTACGGGCTGAGAATTGATTAGGTTGTGATTTCTTAATCAAGTTTTGTTGGCAGCTCTGATTCTGAATTAGAGTGCCATTAGCTGCTGTATGTGCTTTGTGTCAACTCTAGGAGCTCCTCCCACACCTAAGTCTGAGGCTTAAGAAGCACAGTAAAGCTGATATGAATTCCCAGCAATGGAAGCTTTCCTCAAAGCTTCATTGTCTAAACTCTGAACGTCATCATAACCTCAGTTCTGCCTAGCACCTAACTAGTAGGTTTCATAATTTGATGCCCTCTTGCTGTGCTGTCCCACTTGGAATTGGCAAATGAGTTCCGGACAAGTATTGTTGGCCCATGATCCCTGTGGAAACCAGAGCTGCAGAATTGTTTCCTGGCTCCATTCTTACTGTCACGAATAAGGGCTTTGACTCCTAATAGCCAGGAAGGGAGCCTGGGCAGACAGGATATTCCCTAAGTATAATGAGATCTGGCAACTGACTGTAGGGTGGGAAAATGTACAAGGGGAGGAGAGGCTTGTATGTAAAATAGAGACTCGTCTAGATCCCAGGGGTCTACATTTGTTGGGGCAAAAACCTTGATAATCCATAGTTGAAACATCCTTTGTTGGCCTGACATATTCTGTCACTGTTTGAAATTAGGAAAACCTCATTGACCAAACTGATTAGCAAATATTAATGAACTGATTCAGTGAAAAAGTATTTAACTCAAATGAGCAACAGATGTAATGTTCCATTGTAGACTTTATTTAAATATTTATCCGGTCAATTTGCCCAACATTTTAATATTCATCATACATATGGGCATATTCTGGAAAGATACATTTGGTTTTCTGGCTTGCCATCTCTGTCAGGAGGCATCCTGGGTCATGTAGCTAGTGTCATTCGTCGTTGACTAGTTAGACTTTTAATTGTTTCCATTATGTGAAGGAGAATGATGAGAAGAGCATGAAGGGAGAATTTTCTGGAAATGGTGTTAAATTTTGACATAACTTTCTAAACCATCCTCTTGTTCTTTGCTGACCTGAACTGCAAGGTCAAGTGCACAGATGTGCTTAGGAAGCCAACAGTGCCAGATGACCCCAGGGCCTTGGAGGTGAAGTGTGGATACACTCAACTCCCACAGAGCTAACTCTGAGCTCACTGCCCAGTTGGTTGCAATAAAACCCTCCCTTCACTTGAAAGGATAATTTAAAAAATAAAAAAATCATAAAACAACCCTGCTCTGTAGGGTATTATCCCAGGCAAGCATAGGAAATCAAGTCTGAGTCACTCATTTAAATCCAAAGTGCTATTTTTAGTTAGCAGTGTCAGCTGTTATTTGACATTCATCCTGATGTCTAGGCCTTTTGGCCAGAGTTCTAGTCATTTGCTGATCATTAATGGAGTGGGTGAGATAAGACTTATAAGGTTCAGTTTGAGGGTATGGATTGGTGGCATAATGATCTTACCTCTTCTCTGCAGAATGATCAAAGCTCAGCAGCTAAGAGCCTGTGAACAAACATAACTCCCACCCACATCTTCCTATCTCCACTCTTCCAGAAATAGGCAGAGTTTTATCAAAGAGCTTTTTTGTTTGATTCTACTCTATAAATATAATTTGGGAAATGTAGTATTTTGAAAACCAAGACATTTTTAAAAAGGGGCTTTTGTCAAAAATGCAAAGCTGGACTTCACTACTGATGTGTTTATATTCGTGGATCAGTCAGGCTTTCTGTGGCTCAAGCTTTGTACATATTCCCAGAAATTTGGCAAACCCTTCTTAGGGGAAGCCTCTGGAAAATGTCTTTTGTCCTCAGGCCATTCAGCAAGATCCTAGGATCCGGGGATCAGGGAGTACAACCCAGAAGGGGCCAGGCTCAGAACCCTGTGGGGTATTAGGCAGGAGGGAGGTCCTTCAGCCCCTCTCCCTGAGGTTATGTTTACTGCTACCCCTTCTGCAACCATGTCTTTTGTTTATCTGGTGGATAACGCCTTCCTCTTGTGGGTTCTCGTGTTTCTAGATTCCAGCATAACATACCTGCTGACTGCCAGGAAGCAATTTTCACCCCAGGCTGACCAGTCAAGGAAATAACCACAGTCTGGGAACCAGAGAAATTCAACTGCAAGTCTGAAGCAATTTAATTTATCTTAATACATTTTCACAAGTGGAAAATGTGGAGGCCAGCACTGTATAACTTAGTAGATTCAAAACATGGACAAAAACAATCAAATCTGGTTTTTCCCCACGAGTGTCAGGTGATTACTTCTGGCTTTCCATTTTACCATGTTATGTAAATGTGTTCAACCAAAGGCAAAGGCTTACATTCTCTCAGAGCTTCGTTATCATCAAACATTTGAGTTACCAGGAAAAAAATTTGGCAATATATGCAAAAAGCCATAAAAATATGCCTTTCTTTGTAAAAGTGATTCCATTTCTTGACATATTTTGAAATGCATCCTCAGGAAATCACCATTGTACAAAAAAATTTAGATGACTGAACAATCATCTTGAAACAGACCAAATGTCCAAAGAGGGGAGATTTAGGATAAGTAATGATTAATTCATGTCACAGAATACAATTCAGCCATTTAAAACCTGTATCTTTGAAGAATAGTTGATTACATGGAGAATATTCCATATCACATGTACAAAAATGATGGAGAGAGAGGTTGAAGGGTTAATGGGGAGAGATGAGATTGGAAGCTGGGAGACAAGAGAAGAATAGAACGTGAATAGCTGTACTTCTGATATGTGGGATCACAGGGCAGGGGCAAGGTGTCAGCTATTCCCTGAAATGTCTGATGAGCACATACACTCACTGGAGGACTTGTCTACTGCTCTGTTGATTGGTGTTGGAAAGCTATTCCGGAAAATTTTAGAGTACTGAGAAGCAAAGGTGAGTGAAATTAGGAGCAAATGGAGACCACATGCCCTCTGCTCAGACCAGGAAGTTACTCCACTTATGGGTCATTCTCGACATGTTTGGTTAAACTCTTCTTTAATTTAAAATTAATGCCAATGAAGATTCCTTCATCTCTAAGCTTTCTTATAACCACAGCACTATGCATCTGCTTCCCATCCCAGGTGCGCTTCCTGAACTATCAACATCAACTTGCTTGTAATCTATTCACTTCTCAGCCCATTGAAACTGGGCTTTGACTTCCACTGCGTCTTTGAGATTGCATTGACAAAGGGCTCCACATTGCTTCCTAATTGATAATAGACTCCTTCATGTTCTTAACCACTTGGACCCATTTCAATTTTTAATAGCACTTAACCATTTCTTGGAATTTTCTCTAATATTCTTCAAAGAGGTCATTCTTACCTGGTTCCCCTTCTCTTTCCCTCTTACCTTTTCTTCTTTCTCTCCTTTGCTGGCACCTCCTACTAGGCCTTGCCATTTCCACTGACCTCCTAAAAAATGTCTCCTTATGTTTCAAGACTTAGCTCAAAGTTCGGTACCACTGTGGAGTCTTTGTTCACTCACTCAGGTTACCTACTGACCTCCCCAGAAGTGGACTGATGTGCAGGTTAATTAAAATTCAGTATCAGGGTCCTTTATTTGCAAAGACCCTGGGCCTCATATGTTCATGAGGTCCAAGATCATTGTAAAATTTGCAGTTTTAATCTATTTTAATTGTGACAGGTTAGATCTAGAGTTTCTTTCTACTCTGATCAGTCCCTAATCCCCTTTGCATAAGTCTCCTCATGTTGGGTAGCTTGGAATGGCTGAGAGCATTTTGGTGAATTCACCTTAGGGAGAGTTGAGTTACAGAATCATTTATTTGGCTTTAATAAGCTATATTTATGTGGTTTATAATCACTTCAATGTCTAGTGAAGCAACACTAGCTGTCTGGTGTAGGACTGGCTTCTAGGAATACTTCATACTGCCCATGGGGCTGATTCACCCTGTGCTGTGATGCTCAGGGTGGGCAAGGCCAGAGGCTACATCACAGAATGGCCTGATGTGCTGGGCACTTCTGAAGGTACTTAGGTGAAACAAGGTTTAAACCTATTGACTTCTTTCCAATCTTTAAGTATACAAAATTTTAAGAAAATGATTTGGCCTTCAATCAGATCTAGTCAAAAATATCAATAATTAAAAAAACAAAGTTCAATGAACCATGCTAGAGGAGAAACTGAATTATGTTTCTGGTATCTCTATGGAAAATTATATTTAAAAGTCATTGTTACATGAAGACATTATCAAAGAGTACACAACCAATATATATGAGGAAAAATCTAATAGAGGTTTGTTAGACAGTTTGTTAATAAAAATACTGTGTAGGGTTTTGTCCCCCTGGATTTTGTGATGCTTGTGGAATTAGTTTTTTTTTTTTTTACATATTTGAAACTTGTTGTCATTCCTTTTCTCACTTTAAATAAAATTTCTCTTTTATACTTAAATTTATATTTGTAATTTCAATTTTTTTTTCTTAAAGAGAGTCCTGCAAATCATACTAACTTTTGGTTCCACAGAACTGAGTGCCCCTGGCCTCCCCTACAGACCCCAGATAGCAGTCTCAATTATTTACCTTGTAGCTCCATTGCTTAGCCCAGGCCCAGATACTCAAAAAATGTTTGTTGAAAAATATGTATCTAAATATTATGATATTTAGATTAATATATAAATAAATATTAAATATTTAAAATATCTAAAATAGTTTAGATAATATTAAATATTAAAAATATTTATCTAAAATATTATGATGTCACACTAAGAGTTTACTTTATCTTAATGCAATCAGAGAATACAGCATTAGTACAAAATTCAATCCCAATTCAGAGAAATTGCTTTCAGGTTCAGTTTATATGCTCCTTTGCTCATATAGCGGTTCCTCATACTGGGTCTCATTTAATCTTTACCATATCCCCAACTCCTAATAATTTAGAGACAGAATAAAAGAGAAAAGTAGGAAGGGCTAGCACAGATGACTCATAATATAGTGTGCAACAAAGTGAAAATGAAATTAAAGAACAATGATGGAAAATATCTGTCAAGCACCCCTTGAAACAGTGGGCTCCTGAAATTCCATTATCTGCAGAGACTACCCAGCAGCTAGGAGAAGAGTCAGGGCCTAATGTTTCATCTTCAAATATCAACTTCTTTGCTTTGTGACTTGGCTTTGTCTTAAGGCCTTGCTATTTCAGATGATAAACTCTATCCAGAGGGCTAAATTATAGGTATCCAGCCAGTTGCTCAGTCTGCAGAGTATACACCCAAGCCTAGCCTTTTCAAATGTCAGTCGACCTCTTGCCGGTCTTCTGGAGAAAGTCTTTACGTGGGATTCCAGATACATTCGTCTTAGGTTGAGTTTAATATTGATTCCTATCTTAAGTTATTGAGTCTTAATTCTGGAGTTATGACTACTTAATTTGCTCCTTCCTCTGGGCTTTATAATCAGAACCCTATGACCTCACTGCAACCTTGACTTCCACCCTCATTCAAGTTCTTTATTTCTTTGATGACTAGTCTTTCTCCATTTAGGTTTTCATAACCATGGAAATGCAGTCCTATTCTTTTATCCTTTTTAGGTGTTCATCTGGCGTCTTTATCATCAGATTCTTTACCTTGGCACCCCCTTTCTCTATAGACATTACAAGCAAATTTTCCAAAAATAATTCACATTTTTCAGAAATATAGCTCCTGTGGTTCCATCTGCTTATCCTCCGTATTCTGATCTTGTCAGTCAACTTCTAAATAAACATAAAACAGACATCCCTAAACCCATGTCCACAGGCCACTTATCCACTATACACCTGCTTTCTGTGACAGAGAGAGAGCACACAAATGAACCCAGGATTTATGAATCAGGGAAAGAGCCTGGATAACCCAATTAAGAAGTCAATAAAAGTAACACAATATAGTCAGTATAAATAAAAGAAATAGGCCATGGGAAAAAATAGCCATGAAGAAGGTAGAATTCTCATCCAAAGTTCCAGACAAAATAAAAAGATTTGGAAAACCAAGTTGTAAATGGTCTTCTAGAGAAAATTGAAAAATAAATCTAAATCCTTGAATTATAGGACAGATACTTGAAACTAGAAGCATTATAAAGAAAATATACAAGTATATATCTCAGTGGCAAGATAAATATTATCTTCTTTTGTGAAGAAAGGCCAACAAAACGGAAGATAAATCTTCTGGGCCTTTGGGGTCCATATGGGAAAACAGCAAAGAGGAAAATCCAATCACCAAGACAACAGTGTGGGCAGATTACCTTCATACCTTGTAAAGAATAGCTTTGCAGTTCATTTTTTTAACATGCTGAATTTTGAGATCTGATATTTAAAAGAACAATAATTAGATTAAAATAGAAATGCATTACCACAGGAAATGTAAAAGGTTAAAAAGGGAACACTTAACACATTCATTCATATAAGAATTACTTAGAGGTGGAGTCAAACTATATTCAAGTCTGAAAACACAGGAACAATGAATTTCAAATACATTAAAAATATTTACTTCTTGTTTTGGAATAAATTTGGGATGATGCCAAGAACCAGTTACTCATAATTATAAGTTTTTCAGAATCATAAATTCAAACACAATTAACAACAGTCCCAACTTAGATTTCTCCCCAGTTCCCTCGATAAATTGGCTGTGGGTGTTTCTTGAAAGAGAAATATAACCAAGTTGTATTCGAACTTTTCAGAGGCTTTGACATTCTGCCACCAACACACGGGAAGCAAATGGATTTTTCTACTGGTGGTGGTGTAATTTGTACTCAGAGAATAGAATATCCCAGGGGAGTGTCAAACCATGAGAAAAAGAAAGGTAAGATATTAAAATCTGCATCATCTGGTCTTGGCCATGTTTGAAGAATGGTGTTTTGCACATACTGATAGTGCGTCCCTCTGTTTATACTAGAAAACTTTTCCTACTCCAAGTAGGAATAAATGTATACATCTTTGACAAACGAAAAGTTCCACTTGAGAAAACAGGAGCCTCAGGATTTTACTCTCCCCAGGTCACTAAATCTTGGTATCCTGGGGTAGACAAAAGCCAGTGACAATATCCACATCGTTCTTCATCTCCCTTTTCACCCCCATGCTAGGACTACAGAATTTCCAGGGACTGAATTGAATATCAGTTGTTAACCAAACAGTGACCATCACTGCTTTCTGTCAATTCATGAGGAAGACCCCAAAAGTTATTCTAGAAGTATGAAAAGGCAAGAAGAGTAAAACAAAAAGATGCTTTTTTTGTTGTTGTTATAAGCTAGCTAATCGTCCCCAAAAAGGATTTCCAAAATCCACTGTGCAGCATTGCATGGTAGACAAATATATTCATACCAGCGAGATGTGTTACACTTTCCTGGTTGTTACAAAGAAACACACTCCCATTCTTTTCCCCTAACACCATTCTTATGTCTGTTTGGTACTCCTAGTTTTGGCATATTTCCCTGGCAGGGGAGACACAGTTTGTATAATCTCTGAAGTCTTGTCCCAGGAGGAGACCCAACCTTACAAAAAGAGTTGTGTTTCCTGAGGAGGCACTGAATGGCCTCACTGTTTTCTCAGGAAGATGCTTATGTGTTCACTTTGTGCTTAATCAATCACAGGCCCAGATAATTTAAGCAAAGAGGAACTGTAAAGAGTTCACATCTGAACTGCTTTGGACAATGTTCTGGCAAAAATAGAAGTGTTCCAAGTTAGGGCTATTTCTTACACAAGAAAAGCAGTCATTACTTGGTTGAAAAGTCTTCCGGCAAGCTGAGCTTTCACTTCTTTAGCTGGAGTGAAGGGTATTATCTCCATGAGCCAAATTCCAGGTGTGATAAAGGCCATCTTGGTCTATGAGGGTTCATCAACATAGGTCCCAACTGGGATTTATACATCTTGGGAATACTGCCATTGATGAATTGGAGCCATATTACTTGAATCAAAGGGAAATATCTAATATTCTAAAAAGTTGAACTAGCTCTGATAGTTTCACAAAATTGATATTATTTCAATACAATGTATCAGCGAAACCTCAGTTAGATAGGCAAGATACAGATTAAGATCACTGGCATTTTAAAGACATGATCCTTAAATTTGACCCTCCTTCTATTGAGAGACAGGTCTATGCCTCCTCCTTATAAGTCTGGCCTTTATGACTGTTTGATGAACTGAATTCAGAGAAAGAAATAAATACTATGTTAGTTTTCATACCCAGGTTTCAAGATATTGGGTTTTCATTATCTATCCCTTGAGGTGCTCATACTTGAGATTCAACCATTATGTTGGTAGGAAGCTCAAGCAGCATATGAAGAAACTCACATGGAGAGAAGCAATGTCCCTAGCTCACACTCTCACTGACTTCCCAGATATCAGTACCAGCTTGCCAGGAATATGAGTGAGCCATCATGAAAGTGAGTCTGCCAACCTTAAGTCAATCTGCCCAAGCTGACCTCCATGTTGGGTAGATGAGTTGTCTCTGTTAAGCCATTAAAAAAACCTGTATTTTCATGAGTAAATTATTTCTTGTTGAAATGTTTAAATTTTAGAGTGGATTACTGTGAAGCAATATATAACTGATACAGTCAACTTGCCACAAGATATTTTCATGCAATCCAAAGATTTAAAATAATTACTCCCTAATCTAGTATCAATTTTGAAATCCAAGAAAGCAGATTCAATTTAAGAGACGTGACAGTTTGCAGCAAAAATAAATTTGATGCTCACGTTTTGCAACAAGCCTTGTTAAATCAATAACCTGCCTGCTTACAATGGAAAGTAATGATATTAACAACAAAAACATAGCACTAACAGCTATAGCAAAATTTACTACAGCAATCTCAAGTACTTATGACAAAGATATATTTATTCATTTACCTATTCACTCAACAAATACATAATTTACTTCAAATGAGAGTCAGCATCTGATAGTGGCTAGGCAAAAAGATAAAATAAAAAGGCACAGTGGGTAACAATGAATAACAATGATTATTGTCTGTTACAGTCAATTTTGTGCTGCTGTGACAGAATATCTGAGACTAGGTAACTTATAAAGAACATAAATTTATTTCTCACACTTCTGAAGGCTGGGAAGTCCAAGATCAAGGTCCAGCAGTCTGATGAGGGCTGCATCCTCTGGAGAAGACAAATGCTGTGTCCTCACATGGCAGAAAAGCAAGCAAGCAAGCTACCCAGCTGCGTTCAAATACCTTCCACTCTTGTCTGCAATGAAATTTTACTGTACCTCTGGGGAAACTAAGCTCATGGACCTCAAACTCTCTCCTCTGCCCATCTGCAATGGGGTAGCATTTGCCCATGAAGACCTATGCATGTCTATGGGGATAAATGGTTAAATACACTGAAAAAAAGGAGTGCATTGTGCCAGTCCCTGTTATGTTAGCTAGTGTGGGGGTATCTGTTATATTGGCCTGCTTGGTGTTTGATGTGCTTTGGATATTAGTCCCCTCCAGATCCCATGCTGAAATGTGATCCCCAGTGTTAGAAGTGGGGCCCTAGTGGGAGGTGCTTTTGTCATGGTGGTGGATCCTTCATGAATGGCTTGGTGCTCTCCCCTTGGTGATGAGCGAGTTCGCCCACTCTATTAGTTCATGCAAGAGTTGGTTGTTTAAAGAGCCTAGCATCTTCTCCCCTTGCTCTCTTGCTCCCTCTCTCACCATGTGTCACACCTG